ACCCGGACCAAGTACCCTATATAGTTACCTGGGAAGTGCTGGTCTATGACCCTCCTCCCTGGGTGCGCTCCTTTGTACACCCAGGAGGTCACTCCTCCTCCTCTCCCCACCCCCTGGCCTCCGGACTGCGAGGCCGCAGGGAGCAGCCGCTCCGGATTCCACTGCCCTGCCTCCGGACGGGCCATGATGGCCAGTTGCAGTACTGGCCGTTCTCTGCCTCAGATCTTTATAACTGGAAAAATAATAACCCCTCCTTTTCAGCAGATCCTGTGAGAATGACTGATCTATTGGAGTCGGTTCTTACTACCCATCACCCCACCTGGGACGATTGCCAACAGCTTTTACAGGTCCTCCTAACTTCGGAGGAGAGATAGCGGGTCCTTCTTGAAGCCCGAAAAAAAATTGTTCCTGGGACAAATGGACAACCTACGCAGCTTCCAAATGAAATTGATGCTGCTTCTCCCTCGACCGCCCAGACTGGGACTTCACCATTGAGGCAGGTAGGACCCATCTATTATTGCCAGTTGCTTGTAGCGGGTCTCCGGGGGTGCCCTACAAATTTGGCCCAGGTAAGACAGATAGTTAAGAAGGCAGAGGAATCGCCAGCTGCATTTTTTTAGAAAGACTTAAGGAAGCTTATGTATTGAGGGAGACAGAACGCATTTTTTTATGAAAAGAGAAGCTCAGACAGAGAGAGAAAAGATGGAGACAGAATGTCGGAGACAGGAAATGAGAGAGACAGGATAGCAAGGGACAAGAACCGTAACAGAGAAATGACTAAACTGTTGGCCACAGTAGTCGAAGAGCAGAGACAGGATAGGCAGAGAGAGGGACGAAGGGGGCCTCACTTAGAAAGAAGGACCTTTCGGAGACCCAAACCCCCTGCCGGTCCCCCTGGAACACTCCTCTGTTGCCAGTCAAGAAGCCAGGAACCAATGACTATAGGCCGGTCCAGGACCTCCGGGAAGTCAATGAGCGGGTTGAGGACATACACCCCACGGTCCCCAATCCCTATAACCTCCTGAGTGGACTGCCACCTGACTATGTTTGGTACTCAGTCCTGGATTTAAAGGATGCCTTCTTCTGCCTGCGATTACACAAAGACAGTCAGCCACTGTTTGCCTTTGAATGGCAGGATGCAGACCTGGGAATCTCGGGACAGCTTTGACTGGGGGGAGAGCCAGGAGAAAGCCTTCATGGACATCAAGAAGGCTCTGCTCAGCTCCCCAGCTCTGGGGTTACCTGATCTGACTGAACCCTTTGACAAATTGACGTTGGGGCAGCCTTTGACTATCTATGCTCAGGCAGCCACCGGGCCGCTGGCTCACCAATGCCAGGATGACCCATTACCAGACTCTGTTGCTGGACAAGGACCGAATTCACTCCGGGGCTCCGGTGACCCTGAACCCCGCCTCGCTACTCCCCTCCCGGGGAAGCAGAGACTCATGACTGCTTGCAGGTCCTGGCTGAGGTCCATGGGGCGAGAGCTGACCTCACGGATCAACCCCTTCCCAACCCCGACCATGTCTGGTTCACGGAGGGAAGCAGCTTCGTACATCAAGGGGAAAGGAAAGCCGGTGCTGCATTGACAACTGAGTCAGAAACAATTTGGGCCGAGGCCTTGCCGCCAGGAACATCGGCCCAACGAGCAGAACTGATTGCCTTGACACAGGCCCTGAGACTGGCAGAAGGTAAGAAACTCACTGTCTACACAGACAGCCGCTATGCTTTTGCCACCGCTCACATCCATGGTGAAATTTATAGGCGAAGGGGGTTATTGACCTCAGAGGGCAGAGACATTAAAAACAAAAAGGAAATCCTGGCCCTCTTAGAGGCTCTGCACCTCCCAACCGCCCTCAGTATCATACATTGCCCAGGGCATCAGAAAGGCGACAGCCCCGTTGCCCGGGGAAACCGGAGGGCAGACCTGGCCGCCCGGGAGGCTGCCCTGACCTTGGAAAGCAGCAGTCACCTCCTCCAGGCAGCTGTAGTCCCTGTAACTAATGAGGCTTCCGAGAAGACCTCCCCGTCATGGGACTATGAGATAAAAGACATCAAAGCCATGAAAAGACTGGGGGCGACCCGAGTACATGATGGTCTCTGGACCTACCAAGGAAAAACTGTCCTTCCCCGCCTAATGACTAGATATTTGGTTAACAGCCTACACAAACTCACTCATTTGAGCTCCAGGAAAACGAGAGAACTGTTAGCCCGGGAAGAAAATACTCGCTACCTGTTGGGAATAGAAGAAATACTAAAACAAGTGACTGAGCAATGTGATGCCTGCGCCCGCGTCAATATGACCAGGCTAAAGCTACCCATGGGAACTCGAGCTCGTGGGCACCGGCCTGGGGTGCACTGGGAAATAGATTTCACAGACCTCCTGGTTTTTGTTAACACCTTCTCGGGATGGACTGAAGCCTACCCCACCAAGCACGAGACAACAAAGGTGGTCACCAAGAAACTTCTTGAAGAAATCTTCCCCGTTACGGAATGCCACAGGTATTGGGGACAGACAACGGGCCTGCCTTTGTTTCTCAGGTAAGTCAGTCTGTGGCCACCTTGTTGGGGATTGATTGGAAATTACATTGTGCTTATCGACCCCAAAGTTCAGGGCAGGTAGAGCGTATGAATAGAACCATTAAGGAGACTATAACTAAATTATCGCTGGCAGCTGGCACTAAAGACTGGGTCCTCTTGCTCCCCTTGCTCTCTATCGTGCCCGGAATACACCGGGCCCCCATGGCCTCACCCCTTTTGAAATTCTATATGGAACCACCGTTCCCTTTGTTCAGTTCTTTGACCAAGATATTTCTGACTATGCCAATTCCTCCTCTCTTCAAGCTCACCTGCAGGCACAAGAGCTGGTTCAGCAGGAAGTCTGGAAGCCTCTGGCCCAAGCCTACCGAGACCAGAGGAAACACCCTATCGTCCCTCACTCCTACCACGTGGGAGACAGCGTTTGGGTCCGGCGCCACCAGGCTAAGAACCTTGAACCCCGCTGGAAGGGACCATACACGGTCCTGTTAACCACCCCTACTGCTCTCAAGGTGGACGGGATTGCTGCTTGGATACATGCCTGGCACGTAAAAGCTGCCTTCCTTGAGGATCCGGACCCAGGATGAAAGGCTCAGCGCACTCAAAATCCTCTAAAAATAAAACTTACCCGCTCCTCTCCCTCCTGCTAATAGCCCTCCTCATAAAATCAGACACTGGTGTGGCCTCCAGTCCCCATACCGTTTATAAATTAACCTGGGAGGTTCTCTCCCAAGTGGGGGAGGTCATTTATGCTGTCACGGAACCACATGCACTTGGGACATGGTGGCCTACTCTATGGCCTGAATTTTATGATTTGGTAGCAGGGTTGGACACTTGGGACATTCCCCATTGCCACCCAAAGGCATGCGCCAGTGGTTCCCATTTTTACAGACGTCGACGTGCACTCATGGACTCCAGAGAAACCACCCCCGGGTGTGTTGATCAAAGAGCCAGAGAGCAGCTAAGTTCAAAGGACTTCTATGTCTGCCCCCGAGATGGGCATGCCTGGCAACAGGCCCAGAAATGTGGGGGACATGATTACTTTTTCTGTGCAGCTTGGGGGTGCGAGACCACAGGGGACGCATATTGGAGGCCGTCCTCATCCTAGGATAAAATACAAGTACGCAGAGGCTGGGACAAAGGACAATCTGGAATGATAGGTATGCCTCTTGCCATTTCCTTCACTGCGCAGGGAAAGCAAGCCCCGGACTGGCAGACTGGGTATACTTGGGGTTTGCGTTGGTATCTGTACGGGCCAGACAAGGGGGTAATCTTCAAAATCAGATGTAAGGTGGCTCCTGTCAATCCACAGGCCATAGGCCCTAACCAGGTTCTTGCTGATCAAAAGCAGCCTAGCCTACTCTGCCCAAGGCTGATACCAGGCCCCTGACCCTGCCTAAAACCACAGCTGCTCCCGCGCCTACAGAAAGCACTCCCAAACCCCCCCTCCTCAGGTCCCCCCCCTTAAAGGCACGGGAAATAGAATATTAGCCCTGATCCAAGGGACATATGCCACTCTGAATTTAACTCGCCCAGATAAGACTAAGGAATGCTGGCTTTGTCTGACTCTGCAACCTCCCTATTATGAAGGCTTAGCGGTTGTGGGCAAATATACAAATCAGGCCACAGCCGAGGCTCTTTGTGGGACAGCCATGCAACATAAATTGACCATCTCAGAAGTGTCTGGAGAGGGGCTATGTATAGGTAAAGTCCCCGCTACGCATCAAGGACTATGCAATGCTACTGAGCCTTTGCCCCAAAGTAGCCGCTACTTGATAGCCCCCAGTGGGACATATTGGGCCATGCATCTTAAACAGACTGACCCAGTTCATAAAAGAAAGGCTATTGGTTGTATAATCACTGGTCTTGACTCAGCAATACCAGCAGCTAAAGCAAAGGGATCTCGAGATGGCAGAAACCTCTGAATGAAAGATTTCATTCAGTTACAAGAGCAATGGGGGAATGAAAGACCCCGGCCCACACAGGCAAGCTGAGGCTCATGGAAAATTCCGTTTCCCCCACAGCTGAATAGTCATTTTTTTATCAGAAGGGAACTCTGCCCAGGGACACAGGTGTCTATAGCCAGCCCAGCAAGATTGGGCAAGCACAGAGACCTATTGTTCCTCAGATAGGGCCAAGGCCGAGACTTGAGTTCTGAGAGAAACCTTAATTGCCCTCGTTCTGAGCCCCCGCCTCATTTAAATTGCCCAATCAGGGTCCCGTAACTAGGCTTCTCGCTTCTGTATTGCGCTTTTGCTATAAAAGAACCCCGAGTCCCCAGCTCGGGGCTCTCAGTTCCCGAGACTGAGACGCCCCGGGTACCCGTGTATTATCAATAAAGCCTCTTGCTGTTTGCATCCAAGGTCGTGGTCTTGGTGTTCCTTGGGTTCGGGTCTCCCTCCCGTGGAAGTCCCCCGGTCGGGGTCTTTCAGAATCTGTCAAATAAATATTCACTCTGAAGATGGAGAAAACAAGCTTTATTATAATGATTTGAGATTTTTGTGCATGGTAACAATATACACACAAATCTTGTTTCTCCTGTGTTTCAAGACAGAATTAATTTAAAGTTTTATTATAGACTAAAGCATCCAAAATACTGTGGTACGTATGTAGCTACGAACATACAAACACATTGATGCACAGCGTCCATTCTTCTGTTTAAATAGGCAGTCAGCATTTTGATTCATAAAAGAACATAGGAGGAGGCTATATTATTAATCGATGGCAGAGAGCACAAGACCAGTGTTCTATACACAAAATGTATGAAACAGATCTGTAAAGGTGGAATGTACAAAATCTTCAAAGAAATGAAGTGGAAACAAGCAACCTTCACGCTCATGGGCAGGCTCAGAAGGCTGCACGGTTGGGAATGATAGAGAGACTGTTAGGAGCGCACACTTTGCTGATGACAGAACATCCCACGTCGTAAAGCAAAAGCACTGAGGTTAAGGCTGTGTTGCTTTCAAAAGTTAATGGAAGTGCTGTACATTCATTGGAACAACATAGCTGATTATTAATCTCTTCTAGAATATTAATGAGTAGCATCCATACACTCTCCACAAGCAGACCACACAATCAACTACCACACAAGTTCATCATTAGAAAGTGTTTTGCAGATTAGCGTCATGATTTGTAGCTTACTGTCATTTAAAACAAACCCCCCCAAAAAAAGCATTTATTTATACCAAACAAATTTTTAATGGGCACTTAGTTTCCTTTATGGCAATACTAGATTCCTAGTTATCAAAAATATTAAAATAATTGTAAATTTTAAAACCCTGCAACATTTACAGAAAGTAACAGTATTAGGACTTTCGATTTCAAGGGGAATTAGATAAGGTTTGCATCAGAAAGCTTCGATTTTATCCTACTTGGAAAGGTCTTGTTTGAAAAACACTCACCACAAGCTTCCCTCTTCCCTTTTCAAAAGTCGTGAACAGAGAGAACGCCACAGAGTCAAAATGCACACAGAGACTTTCCCCATTTGAAGTGATCTACAGATGGCCTGGTGCTGATCTGCTCTTTCCAGTTTTCTCTGTGGGCACCAATCACCAAAGTGTTCGTGCCAACCCTTCACAGTGAGGCTCCATACACCTGGTAACACATTGCTATTCCAGTTCATTCCCTGTGAGGACATATATACCCTGTACATATAGCAGGAGCAGGTGTGCAACAGCTGCATGGACCAGGCGTACTTATCACCTCAAATTTTGTCCAGTTTAGGAAACTCAGGGGCTTGTTTAGTTATGGAGACTAAAGTTTCATAAAAATTTTACACATCATTAAAACGCTGGCTAACAGTCTTTCTAGTAGTGTGTTTCCGGATGGTCAAGTAATTCCCTACCACCCCGTGTCCAGCAGGGGAGGTTTATGTAGGAGAAGACACACTGTCGTTAACCTACAAAAAATAACTGAAGGTATTTTGTCCTTAGTGCCCAAGGGAAATTTGAATGCTTACTTTCTCAGTGCTATACATCATGAGTGTAACTGGTTCTATACAGTTGACAAAGATAAACAATAACAGTAGCCTAGAGCAAAATAAAAAAGCCACTTATTTTGAATAATCCTTCCTAGTTTGCCAGAAACCATTCCCATCAAATGAGACAAGATTTCATTTGGATCTTGCCTATTTGTATCTTAGCAGCAGCACCCCCCCCAAATATGCTTACCACGAAGAAATACAGTTAAGTGCACGCACATACCCAAGAGTAGAATGAGTGTTCCCTGGAGTGTCCACAGCAGGTGCTTTAGTAGATCTAAATTAAATTATCCTTTCATTCCAGTTTGTACCAATATCCATGTGTTTAAAAAAAAAAAACCTTCATTTGTAGTACTTCCTATTGAGATACCAAGCCTGATACGATATTTTATATGTTAGGGCGATTGGTTTTTGAGCTAATTTCTCAGTTCACAAGTATCACAATGCTGTACAAAAAGAACTCATTCAGTAAATTCACTTTCAAATTCATAGTTACAGTCTGAAGGCGCGTGCCAGCTGTGAAGCAAGTGTCTAGCATGCCTGAAGCCCTGGATTCCATTCCAAGAAAACAAAACAAACAAACAAACAAAAACAGTCTGTGGTGAACTCTTAAAAAAAGTTTTTGGTTTGTGAAAATTAAATTAATTTACTCATTTAAAAAACACTTTCTTTTAAATCGTCCAGAAATAGTCCTGCAGGCAGAGTATTAGTAATCAGCACAACAAAATCCCCTTGCCAGAATATGAGCTATAAGAGGACAGAGACGCTTGTCTCTCTCACGCATCCCTCAGGTCCAGTGCCCAGATGCATTCCTGGCGCCTGGTAGGAAGTCTGTAGACACAAATATTGAGGTTTGTACTGAATGCTTGGGCTGCAGGAAAAGCCCAGCTGTAGGACTCTTGCTTAGCATGTCTGAGGCCATGGGTTCCATCCCCAGCACCAAGAAAAAAATTTAAAAATCAAAACATAAGGTCAAAGGCTTATTCTTCCATGGAATTCAGAAGCAGTCTTACTTTACCACTCTAAAACTGGAATTGAATTTCATGTCTATCATAGTCAGGCTTGAACATTTTTAGACTCCACAGAACTAAAATAATAATAACCTTAACCCAAGTGTAAATCTTCTGAAAATAAAGCACCCCCAAGATGTTGACTTAGGCATAATAAATTAAATAGACCAATGAAAGTATTCAGATTTCCCATCTAAATTTTAACACTCCTATATTGAGAACATTAGAATTTCAATATAATAAGTCATAAACATCATCATATGTATGTAAAGGAAGAGTTTTCTTACAGTTATCCAAGGTGTTTTCCATGAAAGAAATCCCAAAGTCATAGCAAACATGTCAAACACAATTTTCCTATTTGGTAGAACTGAGTAGAAACAGACCACATCTTATTTTACAGTATCCATGACAGGAAATACTTCTCAAAATGTATTTATACTTGAATGAAAGGTAACTCAAACTCAATTTTTAGAGATGTCTTTTTCTTTTTCTTTCTTTCTCTTTTTTTTTGAGAGCAAAAGAAGGTCATTTGCTGCCTGGAAGTCAGGCGTCAGCATCGTGCTGGAAAATGGCAACGGCTCAGAACTGCTGTAGGCTCGCTCCACCAGGACGGCTTCAGACCGCAGCAAGCGAGGGGATGTGCTGAAGGGTGGCTGGGCAATACTTCCGCCTTTCCGAGTGCTTCCTATTTCCACACACCAAGGACTCCGCTGTATATATATATAATAAGTATAATACATTCTATCTTACCCTAACCATGTATACTTGTCCCCTAACGCCTCTAGTATTCATTAGACAATGATAAATAACCGTAACATGCCCATACCTGTAATGCTCAACAGAACTTTGGTAACACTTGCTCTCTAAGGGGAAGTCAATAATCAATCACATGCCTTTGGTTGACACCATCTGTCCTCCAAAGGGCTGCTTATGGCTCTCTGTCCTAGGACACTGGTGTCCGACTACATGTGCTGACATTTTGCAGGAGGTAAAGCTTTCGCTTTCATGATGTGGAAGAGGAAAGACATGTGAACACATGGCATGAACATGAGTTCTTTTGATTACATTCCAGTGTGTTGATCTGAAGCTAACAACCCCCCCTTGCTTTTGCCATGAACCTTCCAAAGCATCGGGAATTTCAGGTTTTCCTGAAAATAGATTTCATTTTCTGATGCAAGGTGAGTAGAAAGAGAAGGTAGAGAGGACACACGAGAAAGATCTTTGATCGAACCCAGAAAGGTTGAGAAATTTGCATTGATTCTGATGACTCAACTCAAGAGGGCCCTGAGTCAGAGCTGGGAGGATCTTGCAAGACAGCCTTAGATTTTTCTAAAGTAATTTATAATGGTTGTTGATAACCACCCTCCAAAAAGTCACCAGAGTAATAGCATCTACTGTAAAAGTGAGGTTAGAAGGTCCCTTGGGTTTTGTGACCAAAGTTAAATAAAATAGGTAACTACAAGTTTTGTTCTTGGAAGCTCGATGCAAAGGCTACCATTCATTCACCAGTCAACAGATATGCTAATTCTTTTTAATGTCTGATTTGCAAAATTAGTTTAACTACATAAATCCCTGTCCTATGAGCCATAGTTCACAGGTGTAAAACATCGCAGCTTGTATAGATTCAATAGAAGAGGTTCTTTTTAAATCCTAAAAGTGAATTATGGAATTGGATAAGCAGTTTTTAAGGAAATCGTTACATTCAGAAATAATCTCGGGAAGTTCACCGAAGGTTCTTCCTAGTTTGAAAAGTCCTATTGTAATCTGGTCCCACATTGAAAACTCTATTCCAGTTTCTAGTGCAAGACCTCAGTGCAGGGGTGTCCGCTGTTACTGTAGGTACCGATAGACCTTGAAACAGTGGTTTCCAGAGTCTGCAACCACAACGTGGCCATCCGAAGTTAGGGCCAGGCCTTGGGGGCCATAAAGGGGGTCAGCCGATGTGTTGATATAGGACAAAAATGATCCACTGCCATCAAAGACCTGCACAAACACAAAATCAGAGCAGCGTGAAAGCTACATATGCTGACCAACATGGATTTAAAAGAACCTTCTGGGTGCTGGGCAGGGGTGGCACACGCCTTTAATCCCAGCACTCGGGAGGCAGAGGCAAGTGGTTCTCTGTGAGTTCAAGGCCAGTCTGGTCTATAAAGTGAGTTCCTGGACAGCCAGGGCTGTTACACAGAGAAATCCTGTCTCAATAAAGAAAAAAAAACCAAAAAAAGAGAACCTTCTGGGTTCTGTAAATATGCAGGCCCCTGTACACACATGATATTTGATGATTAACCTTGTTTGCTGGTTTGGTTGGGTCTGGAAACAGCTATGACATAGCTCTAGGAATATCCATAAGTATATTTCCTGAAAAGATTAGCTGTGGGGAGGGGTCTAACTCTTGCTCAGCACGGGCAGCACCTCCTGGTGGTGTGCAGGCCTGAGGAGGCCTGAGAGGGAAGGTGTTGCTTTTGGCCCACTGTCCTCTAAATGCATCCCCTTGCTGGTGCCGCTGCCACCACCTTTGCTCACACTAGAACCCAGCTTCTTTTGGGGTAAGGGGGTTGGTTTTCAGTTTTTGGTTTCTCTGTGTAGCCTTGACTGTGCCGGAACTTGCTCTGTGGACCAGGCTGGCCTCAAACTCAAGAGATCCTCTTGCCTCTGCCTCTCAAGCGCTGGGACTAAAGGCGTGCACCACCACTGCCTGGCTGGAACCTAGCTTCTTTAGCCTTTCAACACAAGCTGAAGAAGACCTAAGGCTCTCTTAGAATCATCTAGGCCAGTGATTCTCAACCTTCCTAATGCTGCGACCCTATACTACAGTTCCTCAAGTTGCGGTGACCCTCGACAATAAAATGACTTCATTGCTGCTTCATAGCTGTAATTTTGCTACTGTTATGACTCATGATGTAAATATCTGGTATCCAGGATATTTGATATATGACCCCCTTAAGGGGTCTCAACACACAGGTTGAGAACCAATGCTCTATGGCTTAGAGTCTAGGCCTTAGTTGCCAGATGTTTGGACTACTGAGGCAGCAACCTGGTAGACTGAGAAGGCTACCAGTTTCTCGGTCTCTCCAACATACAGACAACTATGGCTGGACTCACCCATCCGAGGCACATAAGCCAATGTAGTGACGCCCTTTGTGACATGCAGTCAATCCGTCTGCTGTGTGCTAATAAGGACCCTAACACACAACTCTGTCTGTGCTTACACTTGTCTTACTTTCTCCCCTGCTCCCTCCATGATTGAAGAACTTGTTGGTTGTACATCTTATATTACTATGGCTGTCACACGCACACTGACAAAACTCAGATTTCATTTTTCCTTGTTGAAGTCTATAGTTCAAGGTGCCCATCTGGATAGGCAACAGCTTAAAGTTGCCTAACTGTAGACGTCCATGTGATTCTGCAGTGATGAAATAAAAGGTACAAACCAACTCGTAACATTTCCTCTTTTATAAGTACCCAGGTTGGTTTCTTTGGACCATTTTGCTTGGCCCACTTGGCGTTTTAAGAAGCAATGTAGCCGGGTGTTGGTGGGGCACGCCTTTAATCCCAGCACTCAGGAGACAGAGGCAGGCGGATCTCTGTGAGTTCGAGGCCAGCCTTCAAAACAATACAGAGAAACCCTGTCTCGTAAAACCAAAAAAAAAAAAAAAAAAAAAAAAGAAGAAGAAGAAGAAGCAATGTACGTAGGTAGATGTCACGAGACCACAAAACACAAACAGCATCTCTAGGCTTTTGTAATTTGCCCAGCTCCTGGCTTCTAAAATACTGGAGTCTCCTACCAACTACAATGAGACCACTGATAGAGATCTCATGGGTCACTCTCTTTTGAGACAGGGTCTCACGTAGTACAGGCTAGTCCCAAACTTGCTATGTATTCAAGGATGACCCTAAGCTGCTGACCTTTCTGGATCCATCTCCCATTTGCTGCGACTACATGTCAGTGCCACCATGCCCAGCTTACTCAGTAGTGGAGATTGAACTCATGACCTTGTGCACACTAGACTAGAACTCTACCAACTGAGCTACATACATCTCTATCACTGAATGTCTCTTTTAATAGACAGTTCTTTTAACTATGTCACACAGGGAGTTCATAGTCAGCTTTTGCTGCATAATGAGACTATATCTCAAAGAAAAGACAAAATGCAAAATCATAGCATAGTTATTATATGTATAGTATACTCATATATATATTTGCTTTCAAGTCAGTCAAGCTGGGCTTGAACTCTCTACATAGATAAAGACAACCTGAACTGCTCGTCTTTCTTCCTCTACTTCCCCATGTGTTGGGGTTATGGGCAAGTGTTACCACATCCAGCTTTGATGTTTGCTTCTTAACCGGCACATTGAATGAAAAGAAATGAGGATAGCAATGAATGTAAACAGTAGTGTGGGGTGTCTGGCACAACTCTAATGAGACATGAGCATTGTGTGTGTGTGTTTGGGTTTTCTTAGTGACAGTCAGAGGTTTTACTAAAAGTACTGCTTGCTGACTGGGTTCACAATTAAGAAAAATGAGTATTCACTTTCAGATTAGTAAAACATCCAAGTAGTACTTATTTGCTCAATAGCTCTCTTGAACACTATCTATGAGCCCGTTAGGGGTCCAAGGAGAACAATATTCAAACCAGAAAAAGAATAGCAATAACCTTTGAATTAGAGTTCTGTGCTAATGATGTCAATTCTTGTCTACCTTTCCATTTATAGTGTCCAGTCCTTCACACGAGATTAGCTACGGTGTTATGACTTAACCAAGAAGGAAAAACATCCCAGTCCTAGGACAGGCAACTTTTCACTGTTAACAATATCGGCTGTCTGTACTCCTTAGCATCTAATGTACCTGGATCCTGCTGTTGCCCCAGTCGGCCACAATGATGTTTCCATTTGAATCCACTGCTACACCTGTTGGCGCATTAAATTGCCCATTTCCTTCTCCATTTGAGCCGAACTTCAACATGAATTCTCCTTCCTGATTAAATACCTGTATGAAATATTGAAAGATTCTTTTATTTAAAATACTTGACCCAACCATATTGTTTAAAAAAAAAATAGTTGTCGGCGGGGCGGTGGTGGCGCACGCCTTTAATCCCAGCACTCGGGAAGCAGAGGCAGGCGGATCTCTGTGAGTTCGAGTCCAGGCTGGACCGACAGCCTCCAAAAACAATACAGAGAAACCCTGTCTTGTAAAACCAAAAAAATAAAAATAAAAATAAAAATAAAAAATAAAAAATAGTGGTATGAGAAAGTTATTTATAACAAGTCCTGTGACTTGTAAAAAGTGGTCTATAGACAAGACTCCTGTCACTTGTGGTTCCCAAATCATATGCAATCTAAATTATTATTTATAAAATATAAATACTCTTCTTTTTTTCTGCCATTTACAACTGGTTACTAAATACCTGTGTTATTTTTTTTATAAATTACAAAATACTATTAAAATATAAGATGCTATGAATAGAGCTGAGAATATTTGTTTTTTTTTAAATACTAAGTATTATTCTTTTTTTTTTTTTTTTTCGAGACAGGGTTTCTCTGTATTGTTTTGGAGGCTGTCCTGGAACTAGCTCTGTAGACCAGGCTGGCCTCGAACTCACAGAGATCCGCCTGCCTCTGCCTCCCGAGTGCTGGGATTAAAGGCGTGTGCCACCAACGCCCGGCCTAAGTATTATTCTATCTTCAAATAACTAGCTTTATTTACTGAATACATAAAAATCCAGGAATAGGTACTATGTCTCTACAGGATAGATTGTCATTCAGTTTGGATCAGGCCAAATATTCATGATTCATTATCATTAAGAATAAGAGGACTGAATGTCATACTTGGAATGCAGGCATTTATGTGTGTCAACTTGTGCATGAATATACAATGGCTATGGGTGAAAAATAAACAAGGACTGTTTTATTTACTTCAGATGGTAAAATGGTCTTTCATGCCTGGTGTGGTTAATCAATCCATTATTGTCGTTTACTGAATGTTCTCTGTGTGTGGTTTTTCAAGACTCCTTTTCTCTGTATAACATCCTTGGCTGTCCTGGAACTCACTCTGTAGACCAGGCTGGCCTCGAACTCACAGAGAGCTGCCTGCCTCTGCCTCCGGAGTGCTGGGATTGAAGGCGTGCACCACCAACGCCCGGCCCTTGTTTACTTTTTTGACCCAGTATATTTTTCTTGTTGTTTGACTTTTTTTTTTTTTTTTGATGTTCACTGAAGACAGGGTCTCAATATGTAGCCCAGGCTAGCTTCAGGTTTCTGATCCCTCCTGCTTCTGCCAACACCTTTGCCTTTGCCTTGAGAGTTCTGGAAATTGCAGGCATGCACACCCTGCCTACCTGGCTTAGTTGTCTCATAAATAAAACAAAAATCCTTGTAGCATTTCTGCTCATCTGCATTTTACTTTCCTCAGTCTTAGCTACCTGCAACTGTGACAGGAAAGTGAGTGGGAAGTTCCAAAAATAAGTCACAGTTTCAAGGAACGCCTATAGCAGGATGCTGTTACAATTGTTCTATTTTATAATTAGTTGTCACCGTTAATGGCTGCTATTAGATTTGAAATGTGCTGAAGGTCTGGCCCCCAAATGCAGGAATGCTAAGAGGTGGGCTTTCTAGGAAGTGGGTGGATCCTAACACTCTGACCTCATCAATGGATAAACTCACTGATGGGTTCAGTACTGAATGGACCAGTAGGAGGCTGCAGAAACTGAAGGCAGTCTAGTCTGTGTGGAGGAAGCAGGTCACCGAGGTGTGCTCTTGGAATAACTTATCCCTAGGTTCTGCCTCTGCATCTCTTCTCTTTGTCTCTACAAGTGATTATGGCTGAAACTCTGAGACCATGAGCCCGAAGAAACCTTAGCTTGAAGTTGTTATTCTCTGGTATTTTATCACAGCAACAGGAAGCTGACACAATTGCTTTTTATGTCATACTTATGAACTAAACTTTATTTATTTATTTATTTTGGTTTTTTACGAGACAGGGTTTCTCTGTATTGTTTTGGGGGCTGTCGGTCCAGCCTGGCCTTGAACTCACAGAGATCCGCCTGCCTCTGCTTCCCGAGTGCTGGGATTAAAGGCGTGCGCCCCCACCGTCCAGCCATGAACTAAACTTTATAATAAGGATGTGAGCACAGGAATAAAGACATAGTATATAGAGATTCCCAGACTATTTGTGGCTATTTGTGACTTGGTATCCACTAGGGGTCTTAGAACATATCCCCCAATAACACCGTAGAGCAGGTAGCTTTAAAAGAAAAAGAAGACTACTTATTAACCCTGAAGTTAATAAGTTAAAGGCGTGTGCTACCATGTCATTAGCAAGGTCGTTATTTTCTGTTATGCTGTGTTCTCTATTGCACCAAGTTCGAGAAGCACTGAAAGAAACAAACATGATATACCGTGTGCACAGACGCTGGCTGATTCCTGACCTGCTCCAGAGTCCGTCACTGTAGCAGTCTTCTAACACCTTACTTTTAAAGACCTTGTGGTGCAAGACGACCTAAACAGTGAATTTTTAGTTTGCTAGCCAACAAACTGAAGTAGCAAGATAGCTCCAGAAAGTTCTGTCCCTATGTCCAAGCAAGTGTTTTACAAAATTTTTAATCATTCTCATTCATCCCAGTTTCCAACTAAGAAATACGGCCATTGCGTTTTAGTCACATTAGACACTCACAAGTATGGAAGTCCATATTAAAACCTTCATGTTTAAGCTGAAGTCAGATCCACTAAGTTCTGAGTGTCTATACAAGTGCTGCGCATGATTTCCAACTAGATCGATTTCGCGGTAAAAGGAGTTCAGAGTAAACAATTGGCGTGCTGACAGTACCTTGACAGAATGATTATGGAAATCTGTAACGATGATCTCATTATTGCTATTTACAGCTGCAAAATGGGGACCTGCAATGAAATGGGGGGAAACACGTGAGGGTCCCAACAGCACAGATGATTACAACACAGTAGTTGCTGCAACGCAGCACAAGGTTAACACGTTGGCTTAATAAATTAAGAGAGGGCAAAGAACCAGGGTCCCAGTCCATGGACAATCACTCAGCCAGACATCTAGCTCCAGGTAAGCTGGGCTCTGCACGTTTCTAAACTTGGGACTGTGCTCTGGCCTCTTCCCCAGGAAGCACCTAGGAGTGGCAGCCCTGAGGAGTAGGATGTGCAGGAAGTGTCAGCGACCTTTCCATGTCCCACCCTCTCAAGTCACACCCACTACCTCTTGTTTTTTGCTAAGTGGGGAGGTGAGGGAGTCCTACAAAGAAAAGCATGGTCATTCTCAGCTCCAAAAAGGAGGCTGCCAACTATAAGTTTTCTACTGTAAAACCCGAGCAGAAAATCTGCATTTTACGACACCGAGTGACTGTTGAGAATCTGGGCCAGACAAAGGAGAGAATAAGCACAAAGAAAGAAGATGCCAGCTAATGCTAAATCCCCCAAGCATCCTTTGAAAAGGGAAATCAATGGGCTGGGCTTAGCCTTTTCTTGCAGATGGGCACATCCCAGCAAGCTTGTGATTGCAAAGTTACACAAAGCAAAGTAAAAAAGATTGTCTTCGATGCTCTGAACAAATACTCAACACTCCTGTTCTCTTATAGTAACCTACAAAGGTATAGTAAACCCTATCCCAAGGCTCGTTAAACTGGAGCCATGGGAAACAGAAACTCGTTCTTCAAACACTTGTATTTTTAAAAATACCGTATTTTAAAATGTACTATTTTACTTAATACATATATTTGAAAAATCTGCCATACAAAGGCTGTACTTTTGACCGGGCCTCCTCAGGACAACTGAGAAGCATCTTCACAGCTTCTGCTTTGGCCCCGCCCCCAGGATATCCCCCCAAAGCCAGCACGCACACTGGGGATGGGGCACCTTCAACATGCTCAAACATCATGCAAATGTGAGCAGGAGAAACATAGAAAAGGGGGTTTACATATTACCGTCGAGGGTACCTGCAAACTGCCTGTCCCCATTTCCTCGGCTACCAAACCTGGTGACTATCTTCCCATTCGGCTGGAAGATGAACACACAGCACGCCTTGTTGTCCACCACAATAATGTGCCCATTTCGATCCACAGAAACTCCTTTGGGCCCCATCAGCTTTCCTGATCCAATTTTTGTCTGTTAGAAACAAAGCACAGAAACTGAGTATAGACACCAGCGTTCAAAGCGTTAATTACAGAACCAACCTGAAGCTAGTTGGCCGTCTTAGAAAACCATTTGCTTGAATGCTCTGAGTACCACACTGGACAATGATATCTCTGTCCCGGAGAACTGGCTCTGCCATAGTCAACATCTGCTACTGGCATTTATACGCAACCTTATTTTTAAGAAGCATTGTCACCAAATTGGGCCACAGCGCCCTTCTAAATGGACACTTGATGAAAGATCACAGGGTCTTGAGATCCTGCAGCTTGCTTCGAGCACATCTGAAGCTGTGCTGACAGATTTACTCACTCCCTTTAAACTTAAGATTCCTTATATTTTCTTCTAAAAAGCTCTAAAAAGAAACTTCAGTAATATCCAATGTTATTTTAGGAACAAATAGCAAATAAAATAACGCCAAAAGTTTAGTGTAAGCAAAGTAAGAGTAAACAGTCATCAAATGGAGGCTACCACTGTCACTATTATATGTCACACTCGGCACTAAAATCTCAGGCATGTGCCGCTAAACTATTAGAATTAAGTTCTACATGGTTGGAAGTCACATCTATTCCATCCACTGTGTTGTCAAAATCAACCATATTTACTGATGCATAAGTGGTACCCAACAAAGATTTGTTTACCACATTAAAAGACAAAAGTCTAGAATTATTCATAAGCTAGCCTAATCATACTTATTATTTGTGAGTGTGTGTGTATACATGTATGTTTGTGGGGCAGTAAATGTATGTGTGTGGTACATATGTGTGGAGGTCAAAGGTCGACTTTGGGTGTTGTTCAGCAGGAGACATATGCCTTGTGTTTCAAGGCCGAGTTTCTCATTGGCTTCCAGCTTGCTAACCAGGTAGGTTGGCTGGCCAGGGATCCCCTGGGAGCTTCCCTTCTTAGCCAGTACACATTACCATCTGGCATTCTTTAGCATGTGTTTTGGGGGATCAAACTCAGGTTCCTATGGTTACACAGCAAGCATCTTTACAGACTGAGCCCTCTCTCCAGCTACCCAACATTGACTACATCCTCTCATATTCATGGTGTTTAATAGAGGGACAAAGCATTAGTGTTTACCAACCGAATGCTTCCATATACTTTAGTTCTGCATTTATAGATTCAACCGCTGGAACACGGACAAAAGAGTAACCCATGGCGAAGGATGCCTTGGAGAGGCTTCAGGAAAAAGAGGCAGAGAGCCTTTTATCTCAAGTGCATTTTGTTTCCTGGATCATTCTTGAACATGATCTCGTGTCTCCTGTGACAAACATTTACATTCAGTTTCTATGACATGTTTGTTTGTTCTGGTTGGATGTCAGAACGTAATTATAGAACTCAATCTGGTCAGTGTACCCTGAATCTGGATATGGCCTTCTGCCTTGGTTTGGTGCTTTTTCAGATACAAGCTATAGCACATGCCAGGAAATTGTGTTTCAGTTGCTCTGTCCTGAGAAAGTTCTAGAAAGGGGCTGCTCTGTTGATATGTAGCACATGTTTAATGGTGTTTATTTACATGCTTTTCTGATCATGTTTCTGTGAACTCAAACAACATCCTTTGCATCATTGCTTGCTTTCTTACATTCATGCATAAAAACACACTGAAACTGAAGTAAGGTTGTGTCTACAGCTTTAGACTGTAGTCCACCCCATTCTTTCAGGTCCTCAGATTGCAGGCCCCGTAGACAAGACTGCATAGGGTGACGAAAGTTGACATTCAACCAACCTCATAGCAAAGATATTGGGGGGCAGAGGCTAGACCTAACTGAACATTTGCAGACTGTGTTCTTGTCATAAATTCCTAAGCAATACAACATAATAAATATCTATAAGGCACTTGCATTGTATTAGGTATAAGTAGTATACAGATGATTTGAAATATAAAGGTGTGCATGGTTGATATGCAAATTGCATCATTTTGTAGGAGAAACTTTGGATCTTGGAGCTCAGGGTGGGTCCTGGAACAAACCCCACAAGGAGACTGGATTTTTGGGAGAAAAAGTTAGAACCAGAGTCTGTGTCTAGAAAGTGGGGTGAGTGGTAACAAGAGGAACTCTTACTTTGTAGTTTAGACTATGTTTGTACACATATTTTTAAAGCCTATTTGTGTTGTCTTTTGTGTGTGTGTGTGTGTGTGTGTGTGTGTGTGTGTGTGTGTGTGTGTGTGTGTGTGGTTTTTTGAGACAGGGTTTCTCTGTATTGTTTTGGAGGCTGTCCTGGAACTCACTCTGTAGGCCAGGCTGGCCTCGAACTCACAGAGATCTGCCTGCCTCTGCCTCCCGAGTGTTGGGATTGAAGGCGTGAGCCACCAATGCCTGGCTTGTGTTGTCTTTTAAATTAAAAACTAGCCCCTGTTAGTATTTAGGCATTTACTGGCCTGCCTTTGGAGTTCTGGCAGGATACACCCTCAGTTGGGGCCACTAAGAGCACCGCCTGTGTATTCACTATGTTCCATTTTAAAAGGGCCCCGCCCACTTCTCTTTCTTTTACTCCCTCTGTCTGTCTGTTCCTCTCTCCCTCCCTCTCTCTCTGTCTCTCTCTGCCTCTCCTTCCTCTCTCCCACTGCTCCTGTGCCCAGAGGCCAGTCTCCCTCCTCCAATTCCCCTTTTTAACCATCCTTTTCCCCTAATAAAAACCCCTCCGCTTGAACTGTGTTTCATGGTGTCTTTCTCTCTCGAGCACTTTTTAAAAGTTACAATATGTTCTACTCCAGAGCCCTTTCTCTCTCCATTTTAGCACTACCTGATAGAAATCTGTGAGCCACAGAGGAACGCTTTAACTTTTTAGATTTATTTATTTTATTTTATGTGTATGAGTGTTTTGCCTACATGCATGTCTGTGTATTAGGTGTGCTTGGTGACTTTGGAAGTCAGAAGAAGGCATTGGATCCCCTGAAACTGCAGTTACAGATAGTTGTGAGCCACGTGTGGGTGCTGGGTTCTCTACAGAACAACCAATGCTTCATCCACTAAATCTTCTCTCCAACCAGAGAGAGAGAGAGAGAGAGAGAGAGAGAGAGAGAGAGAGAGAGAGAGAGAGAGAGAGAGAGAGAGAGAGAGAGCGAGCGCTTCTCTATGTAGCTTTGGAGTCTGTCCTCTGTCCTGGAACTGAATCTGGTCTACAGCTTACAAAGGTCCACTTGCCTCTGCCTGCCTTGTGCAGGGATTAGAGGCGTGTGCCACCACAGCCCGGCCCACATATATATTCTTAATTTCCTAATACAGCGATGGAACTTTCTCTGAGTAGGACTTCTCACATGAGCCTTTATTCTTCCAAGATTGCACATGATGGAGGTTCAGGTGTGCCCTCCATAGAGCAGAGAGACACGAGTACTTTGAAAGGAAACATCTAATCCTAGGTGAGAGAATCTCTTGTGTAAGTTTGATTCCAATGCTGCAATGAAGCCCAAGGATCAAAGAGGCTCCAACATAATGGCATGTAAGGAAATCGCTCACGTTCTTTCAAGTCTGAAAGGAAGGTATCATGCGAGATCAAAAGGAGAGCTGGCACTCTGCTCATTACTACCTAATACCACTACTACTTAGCATTATAAACAGCAGTAGTTAGAATGACTCAACCATATAATACCAAGTGGATAATTATCTAGAATGAAAACAGAAGCCAAAGGATTATCTTAGTTCTACCACAGGATGCCAACTGGGCAGATATGCAAGCACAACTCAAAGCTGAAGCCAAATGTCCTTCTCCTCCACCTCCCGCTATTGTTTCCAGATCAGCTGCACTGAATTCTGCAGAGTTGAATAAGATCAGCTGCACTGAATTCTGCAGAGTTGGATAAGATCAGCTGCACTGAATTCTGCAGAGTTGGATAAGATCAGCTGCACTGAATTCTGCAGAGTTGGATAAGATCAGCTGCACTGAATTCTGCAGAGTTGGATAAGATCAGCTGCACTGAATTCTGCAGAGTTGAATAAGAAGCCATGCGTTTGGCCTCACTGCGTTTCCTCACCATCGTAGAACAGTAGAAAGAGAGCTCAGAGTTTGGCATTAGGAAGTTAGACGAGAGCATTTAACTCAATGAACAGCTTGCAAGTTGAAGAGGGAAAAGCTGAGACATTTTAGAATACAGTGGCCATAAAGGTCACCATATTTGTGTTCATTCATATATATGTATATTTAGACATATATTTATATTTAAAATTTTTTCTGGTTACAAAAGACTCCCAGATGGGCTGGAAGGTATAAGCCGTGAGGGAAGATGAAAGAGAAGACATTAAAGGAGGCAGGGAGGGATAAATATTAGACCACAAGACAAATGTCTATAAAAACAGTAGTAAGATGTTACACATCTGGGATAATTAGGAATGTATATAAAGACTGTGAAGGTCAGTTACTCTGTCAATTTCACTAAGTCCCATTAAAGAAGCAAAAATAATAATCTGTGGATAGTAAGTTGTAGCTTGCACATCCGGGTGAGCTTTTTCTACAGCACCCACGTGTTTTCACGCACTATCCTTTTATCTTAAAGGGTTCTAGTGAACATCTGTCCTACAGGTTCTTGCTGCAATAGGCAGCATCTTTTCCCTGTCCTCTAGGGGGCACCAGTGCTCCACAGTGTTGACTGCACTGACCGCCAACAGTGCCCAATTTAAGAGCAGCTATTCCAAGTGTTTATTATAGATACAGAAGTGTCAAGTCATGAATGTGAAATGTCTCCAATTAGCTAGCAAATTCTTGCTCAATATGCAAAAGCTGCTGTAGCATTGGCTCCTGGACACACCGACTGATAATCATTTTGTTAGAGTATGAAACAAGATAAAAGTAGATTTTCTCCAAACTAGAGGACTTCTGAGAAGACAGATACCAGTTTTCTTCACATTTTTACCAAAGTTGTCACATTTGGGTGTTGGAAGATCCAGAAAGGCCAGAGAGCTTCCTGTACACATGACCATTGTATGGAGTTGTTTCCAGCAGAACAAAAAGTTCAGGGTCTACTGAATAAGGGGACAGTCTTTTGTTTCCTCTGGTTGAAAAGGTATTGCCTCACATAAAACAAGAGCTCAAATCTGAGAGTAAAAGCATATGGAACTCATCTCATAAATATCATGAGATGGCCAGGGCAATCCAAAGATGTCAAATGCCTTCAATCAGACTGAGTGAGAGCCACCTTCAAGATTCCAGAATGGGTTAGGAAAACACACTCTAAGCCTTCTGGGAAGGAAGTGGTGTGGTGGCACCAAAAACTTCCCTGATACCATGAGACCCAAGTCACAGCTGGTCACACGAACTTTACATTTTGGAAAGGATTACAAGGGGCATGGAAAAGATCATCTCTTACATGAGACACATAAAAAAAAATCCAGAAATAAAATCTCATTTAATTTGTACTCAAATCCAATGAGATAGTTGTTTTAAAACTCTGAATTTTAAGTACTCAGAGTAATGATATAATTTTCCAAAGACCAGAGGTTAATAAAGCATAGAAAGGGGATTCCAATGGTTGATCTGGTTAAAAGTTCCTGTTGTCAAATAAACGAGAAGCCTCCCCAAGGGTGAGGGGACACACAAAGCACAGTGCACATGGCCTTCCAAAAGACATCTGTTCCAGTGTCTTACAGTCCTGTGAACACAGGTACAAATGGGCAATTCTTTGGTGACAACTAAGAGGAGAATCCTACTGTCACCACTGAGTTCCCCTACCCTTTGGTGCCTTGTGAGGAAACAGGAACTGCTACTGTTGGATCTTGAATATGTCCCAAAGACCCAGATGTGGAAGGCCTGGTCCCTGCTGGTGCTATTGGGTGGCGGTAGGGCCCGATGGAAGGAAGGGAGGTCACTGGGGGCTATCCTTGAGGGAGGCTGTGGAGCCCCGGCCACTTCTTCTTTGCTCTGCTCTCCTGCTCACATGAGGTCAGCAATTTCCTCCATCATGTGTGTCACTTTGCTACAGGACCAAAGCACAGGAGCCAAGTGACGACGGACTCAAGTGGGCCAAACTAAATGTCTTCTAAGTTGATCTTCTTAGACATTTTGTCTGGGCAATAACGGGCTGACTAACACTGTCTTTACGTTTTACGACAGGGCTAGAAGTGGGATAGCACAGATCCCATGATGGCATCCCAGGATGCGGGGGAACTGGCTTCATCTCCACACAGTCTACATTTTCTTCTGCTTCCCAGTTCTATATGACATTCTTTAATGCTGTGCCTTCAAGTTATAGCAAATAATGTACAACGGCATTCCTCACGCATTAGGCTATTTTCCCTCAGCGTATCTGCACACATTTTAAAAGTGAGAAATATACATGATAATGTTGTTTGTGTCCTGTCTTCCACCACAGACCTGAGAAAGTAGAAGGCACTTTGTAACAGTCTGAAAATTAATTTGAGAATCACAAACCGCCTCTTTATAACCCTTTACAAGAGGCTTTTTTAAAAAAAATTAAATTAAGCCCTCTGAATGTGGGTACCAGATAGGAGGCCAAAATAGTCTATGGAGCCTCTAACAGTGGAGCCAGGGTTTATTCCTAGACTGTAACTGGACTTGAGGAGCCCATTCCCTATGGAGGGATACTATTGTAACCCAGATATGGAAAGGAGGGCCCAGGACCTCCCCAAATGATGTGATGGATTTTGATGATCCCCATAGAGGCTCTCACTATCACTGAGGAGTGGGTGATGGGTGGGCTGGGGGGTCGGTGGGAAGCATGGGAGGATGGAGGGCAAGGGAATGGGGGGCATGGATATGTAAATAAGAGTGTTTTTAAAAATAATTAAAAAGATTGTTTAAAAAAATTAAACTGAGGTGGCCAATACAGCTTTCCAATAAGCATGATTTCTTAAAGCAAACAAGCAGACTATTGCTTTATAAAATAAATCACATTTAGAATATATGTGGGTATTTGCATACGCATATGTGCACCTATATGTATTTGTATAAATTCATGTATCTATGCAAGAGAAAGAAGGCAAGTTTATAAAATTGTCACCATTACTCTCATTTAATAAAACTGAGATTGATGCCCCCATATGAAGAATTATAGAATACAGGATTGGATTTAAACAAAGAAAAACATAATGTCATATTGTTTGTTCTTTCTACTATTTAGTAGCCAAGTGGTGGTCACTCTTACCTTAAACTTCCCATCATTGGAGAAAATGCTAACCCACTTGTTATCATAATCTGCGATGATGATGTCCCCACTGGGGTGCACTGCTACCCCTGTGGGCCGCTGTAGCTGTCCAGGTGATCGGCCTCGGATGCCAAAGCGACTTTTGAATTGCCCATCATTGGAAAATATCTGTACGATGAATTTACATTCATTAGAATCTGAGCTAACCCAAACATCATTGGGGCAGGAAAAGGCATTTATCAAATCCACTACAGATGGGAACATGCCAGCGCTGCTTAAGAAAGCCCCCCCACATACACACACACATGAAAACACAATTAAAACAATAAAACCCAAAGTCTACATATTCCTTTTGATTCTTCCCCACACCTTTTATCTTGAATCTAAACTATAGAAGTATACACCTATCTCTAGCCAACACAAGCAGTCAAAAGAACACACGTAAGGCTATACCTGCACGCACTGGTTGTTACTATCTGCAATTAATATCTTTCCACTCGTAGATGCAGCTACACCCTGAAGGTTTGTAAATTCTCCTTTATTTCTTCCTTTGGTACCTAAGAATCAATAAGAAAAGCATATAAATTTATAGAGAATTAGATTAGCAAAAGAATGATCTAAGCTTCCATATGTAGCCTGAGCATATATTCTTTTTCTTTTCCATGGTAGGGATGGAACCGGTGGCCATGTGTACACTGAGCAGAGCTATAGCCATCACCTCTGCATGGTCTGTGATACACATGGGGGAGGAAGGGGGAGGAGTGAGGGGAGGATGTGAGGGAGCCCTCCCCCTATGACTTAATCCATGAACTACTCACCTTCTCTTTTAGACTAATAAAGTCTTGGAAAAAATTTTTAATCAAATGCTAATTTTTTCTAATCAATCTGTAGCTGAATATTAATGTGGTTAAAATGTATTCAGTTTTCACAAAGAAATATTAAAAATATTCCAACTATGGAGCTACAACAAGAGAGGAGTATATTTTAGAGTTTTGTCAAAATCCTAGTCTCTTACTCAGTAGCTCTCAGGGGAAGCCTGGACATTTGACCTTCTGAGTATGCAATGTACTCTAAAATCACAGATATCAAGAGAGTGCTGTGTGGTTGTCACATGCTGGATCAACATTTTCCTTCTTCTCTAAGACTCTGGATGTTGGTGACTATGTATATTTCTGATGTCTTACCCCTACTTGACTTCTTTTGTTGTTTTTCTGACAGGGTCTTACTATGTGTAGCCTAAGCTTCTCTGGAGTTGTGGCTTGTAGGTTGGTTGTCTTTTGCTCTATGTCTAATTCTACTTATGAGTGAGTACATATTATATTTGTCTTTCTAGTCTGGGTTCCATCCATTTGCCTTAGAATTTCAAGATGTCATTGTTGTTTTACTGCTGAGTGGTACTCCTTTGTGTAAAATACCACATTTTCCTTATCCATTCTTTGGTTGAGGGGCATCTAGGTTGTTTCCAGTTTCTGTATATTACTAATGAAGCTGCTATGAACATAGTTGAGCAAATGTCCTTGTGGTGTGAGTGTTCATCCTTTCGGTATATGCTCAGGAGTGGTCTTGAGGTCCCAATTTTCTGAGAAACTGACGTACTGATTTCCAAAGAAGCTGGACTAGTTTGCACTCCCACCAGCAATGGAGGCGTGTTCCCCTTACTCCACATCCTCTCCAGCATTAGCTGTCAGAGTTACAAACATATTTTTAAAGGGGGTAATGTCAGTGCTTCTAAAAACCAAACCTCTTTTTTCCCCAAAATACACCTATAATCCCGGGACACCCAGGGGTGAGGTGAAGAAGGAGAATGGTATGAGACAGATAGTCCCTGTCCCAAAATAAATAAAATTAAAAATTCATAAACAAAAGCATGAAGTTATCAGAAGTAGGCATCAGGGCCACTTTGAAAGTAAGAGTCTTGAGGCCCATTGGTGAGGTGTCTCAGGTCAGTCCCAGAAGCCTGGCAACCAGGATTCAACCCCTGGAGCCATGTAAAGATGGAAGAGAGAACAGATACAAACGTTGTCTTCTGACCTCCACACACGCAAGGGCATATCACACATTAATAATAATAATAATAATAATAATAATAGCTGGGGGTGATGACTCACGCCTTTAATCCCAGCACTCAAGAGGCAGAAGCAGGTGGATCTCTGTGAGTTCAAGGCCAGCCTGGTCTACAGAGTGAGTACCAAGAGAGCCAAAGCTACACAGAGAAACCCTGTCTCTAAAAACAAACAAAATGATGATAATAATAATAATAAGCCAGGTGGTGGTGGTGCACGCCTTTAATCCCAGCACTCGGGAGGCAGAGGCAGGTGGATCTCTGTGAGTTCGAGGCTGGGCTGGACCGACAGCCTCCAAAACAACATAGAGAAACCCTGTCTCATAAACCAAAATAATAATAATAACAATAATAAATGCAATGTTTTAAAGAGCCAGAGCCTCATAACTGGAAATGGTCCAGGAACAAATAAATGACCTTAAAGAAACCCCAGTGTGTAGAGCTGTGCCTGTATGGGTGATGAGAAACACGAGAGTGATTAAGAGACACCTGAGCAGAACAGATGAACAGGATTGCTGTCCTTCAGGTAGATCTCCTTCATTTAATTGTTAGTCTGTTCTGCTAAGGACACAGGCCACTGTGTTTCCAGGAAACTCGGTGGGTAGCAGGAAATAGAGAAGACAGTGTTAGTGAAAGCCAACACTGTCCTATTAAAAAAGATTCCACTAGCTCGCTTACTAGAACACACAGGTGATGCTGGAGTAAGGAAAATATAAGTGCCCCAAACACCAACGTATTTTTGTGCTGTACAAAAATAAGGTCACTTCTCTGAGCATCGGTAGAAATAACTGCATTGGGGACGGAAAGACATTTAGTTAAACTCCATGTTAGTCCAGTCAGAACCCTGGGGCAGGAAGATTCTGTCTTTCTGCAATGAAGGAGAGAGGCTCAGAAGCCACCAATACTGGGTCACTGGAGCACTGGAACAAAGCACATTGCCGAAAAGAGGTTAGGCAGGCTCGGCAAGGCCACTCAGCAGCTAAAAGCCATCACCACTCGGTGTACCCAGCCTGCGTTCCTGTCCCAAATTCCACATAAAAGAAAGAGAGAACTGCATCCCAAAAGTTTTCCTTTGATATTCACATGCACGCCTCCACTCACACAGACACACCACCACTACCAAACAAGAAGATATCATTTAAATTTCATAATGGTAAAACTCCATATCTGTCCATCTCCTCCTCCCTTCCTTATTTTCAGGGCCTAAAGACTGTCCCTACCCCCAGCTTGGCATATGCCTGAGCTGTATCCTGCACTCATTTGATGGGGGAAGTCCTTCTGTGTACATGTCTCTCTTATTGGTTGATGAATAAAACAATGTCTGGCCAATGAGGAGGGAAGATGGGTGGGACTAGGATGAGGAGAATTCTGGGAAAGGTAGGCAGAACCCCAGCCCACTCCAGAACAGTCGCCATGTGAGCCACCAAGGGAGTTAGAGATCCAGACCCTTCTCCGGTAAGATAAGACCACGTGGAAATACTTAGATTAATAGAAATAAGTTCAAGCCACCAATCAACAGTTTTATAATTAATATAGCATCTGTGTGTTTATTTGGAGCTCAAGGTCCACGGCACCAGCCAGGACAAGAGAAAAAGAACCTCTTGTTACATTTTTTTGTTTGTTTGTTTGATTTTTGAAACAGGGTTTCTTGGTGTAACTTTGGAGGCTGTCCTGGAACTCAATTTGCACAACAGGCTGGCCTCGAACTCACAGAGATCGGCCTGCCTCTGCCTCCTGAGTGCTGGGATTAAAGGCGTGCACCACCACAGACCAGTCCTGTCCTCATTCTTATGAGCACCTTTTGTCTTGTCAGAGATTCCCATCATGGCCTCTTTTTCTTGAACAGTGTTTAGAAGCATGGCAGGATGAGTGTTTCCCTGAGGCTTAGAAGACGGCATCGGCATCCTCTTGAAGGACAATTGATGCTGATTACTTCTCATTGACAACTGACGTAGATGCTGAGCAATGCTGTGGTATCTTGAGGATGGAATGGGTGTTTGTAAAGTAGCTTATGCAGGAAATGAAGTAAATAGAGATTATAGAAATTAGAATTATTTGGTATCAAGCTCTACATTTCCAGCTCCTTAGGAAATTCTATTTGGTCTACAGACAAGCCTCTCCTTTCTCTCTACAGCATTCTACTTGACTGAAGAGGACTGGTGATGCCACCCAGTCATGGAGCACTCTCCTAGTGAGACTCCCAGGTACAGGGACTAAAGGTGTGAGCCACCACTGCTTGACTCTTTCATGTAACCCAGAGTGGCCTTGAACTCACAGAGATCTGTCTGCTTCTGTCTCCCAAGGGCTGGGATTAAAGTTATGTACAACTGCCTGGCCTCTATGGCTAACTTAGTGTGGCTAGCTCTGCACTCTGATCTTCAGGAAAGCTTTACTTGTTAGATCACAAAGCATCACCACATATAGACAAAAGATTATCAAATCTTTTCCTGTCTAATTTAATGTAAATTAAAAATTCATTTCACAATTATTTGTGCTGGCTACTAAATAATCAACAGGATGTTAAGGAGGTTGTAAGTAATTTAGGAGTAAGCTCTTAAGATAATTAAACTATTTTTCTGGATGCTAAACTAGCCTATGAATCACAGAGGAATTTTTAAGCCAACAGCTTCTGAATCCCGTGTCCCTTGATCACTTGCAAATACTCAGGAAACGAATCCCTAAACTGAATCCTGGGGACCAACAATATGTATCTCCTTTCACCACCGACCCCAAATGAGTACTCGAAATGCTATGAATGGAAAAATCTACCAAGATGTTACTGAGGCAAATAGAGTGTCTAACCAGGACATTCAAGCAGGCAGGTGCTTGACGAATGCTTGCTAAGTAAGTGAATACACAAATGAGTTATTAATGTCTGGAAGCACATTATAACTCATGTTGCATCATAAGAAAATAAAATGGGCAGCAATATGCATAGCACGTTCTTATAAATTCTTTCTCATGAGACAGCAGGACAAATACCATCATTTCCATTGTTCAGATAAAGGAATTTGGAGCCAGACACATCACAGAGGTAATCAGAGACAGAAGAAAGAACAAAACTGCATTTTTTTCCCAATGCACACACTTCTTTTTTCCCCAGCTGTGGCCGTACATGCCTTAATCCCAGCACCCAGGAGGTAGAGACAGGCAGATCTGTTGCTTCTGCGAGTTGCAGGTGAGTCTGGTCTACATAGTGACTTCAAGGACAGCCATTACATAATGAGGCCCTGCCTAAAAAAAAAAAAAAAAATAATCTAGATGCGCATGAGTGTGTGTGCATGTGCCCACAGAGGCAAAAGAAGCCCCTGGAGCTGACGTTACTGGCTGTTCTGAGCCATCCCATATGGGTACTGGGAACTGAACTCCACTTCTCAGCAACAACAGTCACCTCTCTGGCCCCATGTTGTTTCTATTTAGACTTCAACATGCCAGTTGTTGGGTTTGTTGCTGTTGTTTTCTTGTTTTGTTTGGTCGGAGCTCACATGGATCATA